ATCACATCCAAACCCTAATCCTTCCAAATTCATAGAGCTCTATACCACCCCTCCACCGATCACGATGTTGAAAATACTCCACCACACAAAGATCAAAACTTTGCATGCACACAGAATTCAATCAACCAAAATTGTGGAGAAATCGAGAGAGGAAAGTGCAATAAAGTCACTGGAAGAGAGAAGATTCAGACCCAAAGAGAATTTTTTTTCTCCTAGAACGAGAATTTAGGGGATTTTTTTAAAGTTTGAAGTTTAGGGGAAAATTGAAAAAGGAAACTAAATAATAAGATATATCTTAGAGGAAATTGGGTGGGTATTGGGTTTATGGGGCGGGTAGTTGGTTTATGGGTTAAAAAGAAAGGTCAAATGGGTAGTTGATTAGATTTAAGACACGTGTAAAAAATGAGGGGGCCGTTAGTGAGAGGGGTATGTGTGTACCTATAATTGGACGGCAGGGGCTTATGTGGACTGAAAGTATAACGGAGGGCATAGACGTACCATTTATTAAAGTTCGGGGGGTAAATCCGTCCCTTCTCCCTAGATATTTTACCAAACTATTCTTTATTAAATGATGTCTTGAAAAATAATTTGGAAAATAAGTATTTAATGTTGACAGTAAAACATGAAAAAATATTATCTTTTTTTAATAAATCAAAATTGACAAGTAAAAAGAAAATCTATTTTAGAAATAAGTGACAAGTAAAAGTAAACCGAAGGATAATAATTACGTAGATATAATTGATAGTGGGTCATATATAAAGGATCTATCCGTAACTAAGTAGTAGTATAGGGGTATTTTGGTCTAATTAACCCTAAATGAAAAAAAAAAAAAAAAGACATGTCGCAATGAGGTGCTAGGCGGTTAAATACGTAAAGGCAGGTAACGAATCTTTCCAGCGGCAGACGCAAGACATATTACAAACATAGAAAGTACATTACTCACTCCCGCAGACAGAAAATCCATTTTCTTCACTCACCAAAACGAGAAATTCTAGGGTTCCAGGCTTCTCTTTTGTTGATAAACTCCGATCTCTGATTCTGTTTCAGAGTTGCATTGACAGATAATCATCTTGAAAAGGGGAATTTTGAGTGTTTCATCATGACTTTGAAGAAATCGAGGAAGGTTTCATGGGCTCCTGGACCTGATTTTTGTCAGGTATACACAGCATTTCTTCATCGAGTCTCTGTTTAGTGCAAGAGTTTTAATGTTTATTTTTATTCATCATAAGTTTTTCATAGATATAGATGTGTGTCTGTTGCAGAAAAGCACACAAATGAATTTGCTTGCAGAATTCTATAATTTTCTCTTGCTAGTTTGGATTGGGGAAAAGATGACGCTAACTAGTTTTGATGCTCTGTTATGAATGAGTCGCTGGAATGTAGAAATTAAGGATTTCGATACTCCCAAAAGACAAGGACAAAACTCAAAAGAGTAAAAAACTGAATTTTTATAAAATTTGAAACATAGCGGGAAAGAGGCAATTGCCTTTGAGATAACTATTTGAGACTTTGAGTCCCTATATGTTCCTTGAGTTACCTTTTGGTCGTCCTAATATAAATCCACATGACTAGCATCCGACACACTAATTGATAAGAGTGAACCAAATCCGCACCCCGACCGCATTTGAACCAACCGCGAAAGCCATTTGAATTTTTTTTATACATTCTCAAATCAATCCTAAAGTGTTATCAAATTTAAAGCTATAGATGAATAATTTCATAAGAAAATATGTGTTTTTCCATGTATGTACACTTCCATTATTACAACCTTACACAACTACCTATTTATGGAGCCTCTATATAATAACCATGTATAATTAAACTCTTTGGGACAATTTGTGATTAAAGAAAAAAGAACATATACTAGCTAACACACAATATAAGTGGTGCCTCAACATATACCTCAGGAATAGAGTAACCTTAGCCCTGTCCACTCATCACTAGCCACGCCTCATTCTTAAATATGGAAAATAGAGGGCCCTTAAGGAGGGTTGAGTAGTACACCATCACAATACTCAATAAGTATTATTGACTCTCGTTTACTAAAAGTTGGGACAACCATTGGTGTTATCACCCTGAAAAGAGGTGAAACTAACCGAGATCGACTGAAAAGGAGGCTCAATTCATAGGGAGAGCGGTGGATGTGATTCCAAGAATCAAATGAGAATGAATACTACAAAGAAACACAAAGAAGTGTCAACCCACTTTGGTAGGAAGTCAATGCAAGGATTATTTGACATAGAACAAAATGCATTAAATGTCAAATAATAATTTATTTTACATTTGAAACGAAGGATCTAGTGTAAATTTGTTTCAACTCAACCTTACATACTTTCAATTCCATTCACAAGATAATTTAAATAAAATCATTAAATCCCATTTCAATTGAATTGAATCATAAGAACCACTTTCGGCTTCTTAGATCTAAACGTATTCAAATCTTTTGTACCTTTACCTTTCCTTGGGAATAATATACTAATACCAACACAATATCCAAGGTCAAATAGGTGATCAACTTTGTGACAAATATCATAGAACCTACTTGCTCTTGTTCAAGTCATCTCCTCGTAGTGTTGCACGAATCGACTCAACCCTATTAGGTAAAGTCTACGTATACACCGACAAGTGTAGTTTCAAGATGACAAACAAAATTTATCTGAAGCAAATCTGGATAAACATAATTAACTCCAAAAATATTTAAATATGTCAAAAACAAATTTATGGCATAGTAGCTACTTATAGTAAATCATGGTGTTCATAACCAATCCAACTCATTTTGATAGAATCAAATGTAAATTTTTTTCCTCAAGTTATCAAAGCATATGTCAAATGAAGATTTAATACTCAAAATATTTAACAAGTGTTATTTCAAATATTTGTCTCTGAGAGAGTTGATATTTCTAACAACTCAACTTTTGGAATATATATAATAAAGTCATTGAATTTTGTTTTGTATCAATAAAATTACTCAACTTAGACCTTTGAGATATCATTATTCACTAAATAGTCTTTTTTTTTAATCCCTCTTCAAAAGGGTTAGTGGTTGTTGAATGCATCTGATTTGCTAATTGAGCTATCGAGGCACCTAAATGCTTGAGTTACATTTGTGCTGTTAGTGTATATTTCATTTCCCAAGGAGATATTCTAAGTGTGTAATATCAAGGACATGTCAAATTGACATGCTTTCAGTTTTACTTATCATCAAGAACATTGATATGCTTTAGTTTTTTTTCCAAACTTCTCCTTAACAAGTTTGTATAATTTGTCACTCAACAGGTAAAACATTATCGAAAAGAGGATTGTCCATCAAAAGTTGGCAGCGGATCTCAGTTAAAGCAGACGCATCAAAGCATTGATAGATCATCATCTGAAAGAAGATATTGCTTGAAGAAGTCAAAAGAGAGACTTTCTTCCAAATCTTTGGCTATATGGAAATGCCCTCCCAAGGTAATCTAAGTTTAGATGATTGGAGTTGCCTTTATTTGAATAGTTTATGTACACATTGTCACAATAACCCCATTTATTGTTGTTACTTGTAGTTCCATTTGAACGAGAAATGGCTAGTGGTTGCTGGTGAAGAAAGTAAAGAAGCCAGTAAGCAGGAGGATAGGAAAATGAGGGTGATTGAGGCGGTTTTCCCTAATCGGTCTGCAATTCCTCCAAAGTAAGTAATTTTTGGATTAATATTTCTTGTGCTTATAGCTTTCATTGTCTTAATTTACTTTGGTTTTAATCTGTTATTTTTCTTATTTAATTTCCATACAGTCCTTACAACTTGTCTGACCTGGAACAAAGTTATGATGATAACCAAACTCCAGTAATCCGAACTATTCCTATAGAAGAAGAAGAAGTAGATGTAGAAGTTCTAACCCAAACCATTAGTAGATGTCTACCTAACAGTCCATCATCATCTGTCAGGACAATTACTTCTCAAAAGCTACCTGATAATGGAAAGTCGCTTCCAGAACCTTTGTCAACCTTCCCAAATGCCAGAAAACCTTCGAGCAACTCATTTTTATCTAAAAGACCGCCTTCTAATGTGCAATCTACTCCAACATATCATTCAAGATGTCAAAATCTGAAGGGGTCTAAGCAAACCCAAGTTTCTCCTAAACTACCTGTTAGTTACAGCTTTGTTCCCCGGTATCAACCGACATTTAAAAGTATCGGCACTCAGACTGAAATATTTCCAGACCAACCAGCTAATGAAAACCATGGGGCCAAGTATCAAACAATATGTGAAAACCAGAATATTCCCCAGCTCAAGTCTCAAGTTTCTGGAATGGCACCTGCTAAGCACAACCCTGTCACCGAATCTCCATCCACACATGATTTGACAGTTGCTGTAGCCACAACTGTAGCTGCTCTTGCCAAAAGTCAAGAGCAGGGTAGTCTGATCGGTACCAACTTATTGGTTAGGCTTCTCCTCAACCCAGAAGAAATACCAAAGCTGATGAATGAACGTGGCATTGCTACCAATACTGCCATGTCTAGGCCAGAGGATCTACTGCTTCCTTTGCCTAGGAAAAAACCCGATAAGGTAATTAACAACCCCATTAATGAATGCCAAGCTCCTCTTGCAGGATCTGGACCAAGCTTTGTGCCAAAGCCAATGGCAAATTCTGCACCCTTGATGATGACTAAGCCTGAAACATCCATGAGAAGTAATTTGGTTGTTGAACAAGGGCCCCCTCCAAGTGTAGAAACTGCAAACACTACAGAGAGTAAGTCACTAGCCCACCCCACTTCAGACCTAAATCTGGAAAATATTAAGAAACTGGTTAACAAATATAGAGTACTTGACAATGAAGGAGGAAAGCCCTCAGTTAATTCTGAGTTGGTTTCCAAATATGGTCGTACCACCTTGCAGCCTAAGCTGTCGATTTCACCAAATGTTGGACATACATCCCCTTCTTCCTCGATATTGACTAGTCATACCCCTCTTCAGAAGGATATCAATTACTGCAAGTCCCTGATCAAGCAACATGGAGAACAATATGAGTTTGTGGTTGATGAAAGCTTACAAAATACCAATCCTCATGGTACTACATGGGGGGCAGGTTTGTTAAAGAACCAAAAACCAATTCCGCGCAGCTTGACACCTTGTGTTTTTTTTAATAAACCTAAGGGATGCCGTAATGGTTCCTCTTGTCGCTTCCTGCATGATATATCTGGTCAAAAGAGGTCTGGGGGGACGTCGGAAGGTCGGGATTCGAAGAGAATGAAGTAAAGTGGGAAACATTAATATGACATGACTCAAGAGGTATTCTTTTCTTTTTAAACAAAAGCACTCCGTTTTGCCTTTCCATTGAGGGAAATTTTGAAACGCAGACGTTTAAAACATTAGAATCAGACGTTCAAAACATCAGAATCAATTTTTTGTCAGGTATACCCAACATTTGAAAAACTTGAAGGAGTTTTCCCTTGAAACTTTGAACTTGGATGAAGCATTGTTTTACCTTGACAATATTTCTATTCTGACAAGTTTTGGTATAATCATTTTTTTATCTCCTAATTGCAATATATTATAGCCCTCCCCCACTTTAAAAACTAAAACATAAAAGTGATGTGCTGTTAATATCAATAATGAATTCAACATGTTAATTTGATTTATACTATAAGGTATGGAAGCATTTGATAAGAACAAAGTGTATTAAATTCTTTGAAGGTAGTGAAAATTGTACCAGCGAATAACAATAATAAGATGACTACATAGAGTACCTGTATAAGTTTAGTTTGGTTGGAGAGAAATGTTACATAAGAATTGAGGCCACAATTTCCTACAAATTCTGAATTCCAGATACTTGAGACTTGAACGGGATAATATTCTGCTTTCACATATTGTTTGATACTTAGGCCATGGTTTTGATCACAATTCTTTTAAAACATCCTTTTACATCATTTAATCTAATTAATTTAGATTTGTATAGTATGAATCTCTTTGAAACACACTTCAATTGATATTTTAATTAAATATTTCATAAATTAATAACTACGTCATAAACGATGAAAAAAATTCATCCTAGCAGCCTTCGTAACGTTTCAAATGTTGTATAGTCACTAAGATTTGATCTTTTCTCTTTTTTCCTTTTTACCTTTTATTACCTTTAAAATATGTTTTCAAATGATTGTGTAATTGTTAAAGGACTTTATATGTTTGGAAGTCGGAAATCATATTGATAATACAATATTTTGATTTGATTAATTTTTTTTTTAGGAAAAACTAAGCTCAGGTCTCATAAAAATAAATTAATTACAAACATATATCCCCATATAATTATGTCTCCTAATTAATTACTGAAAAGGTCACATTTCCTTGTAGCTTTAGTTATTTGACTCTTTTTTTTAAAATTCTTTTACTTTTTATTTCTCTATTTTTTTATGTTTCTTTATTCATTTAATTTTTTTCTAATTGTTTTATTCTTTATTTGCTTACATCATAATCTATTTTTTACTCAATATTTATTTTATATACTTCCTTTCTTCTTCTTTTTTTCTCATTTATTTTTTGATAAGTCTACTTTTTCTCATTTCATTTAATTATTTTTACGTTTTTACTTCTGTTTATTATAATTTGTAAAATATAATTTGTATAACTGTTTAAAGCTCAAATGATTGTGTTCGTATAAATTCGTTATTTAAAGTTTTATCATATCGTATAATTCTGAATTTCGTATTACTCAATTATACAAAATACACGCAAATTATACTAATGTGCCCGCAAATTATATAAACGAGGTGCAAATAATACAAATTATTGTCCTCTCTCGCTCGCCTCACCTATAGCTACGTATCGTAATTAGCAGATTATAGCTATGAAACGTAATTAAACTATTTTTTAATAGCTATATGCGAAAGTTTCCATTAAGATTTCCTATATTCATTCATGTACAATCAGTTATCCGCATAATGCAAAGTAGAAATAGAATTAGCGCATAGGAAAATATATAAATATAAAAGGTGCCATCAAACTGATCTCGCGGTAATAATTTGTTTTGTTGAGTTTTCAAATTTATAAAAAAAAACATATATGTACCCCCTCTCTCTCTCTCTCTCTAAAATAATTTAAATGTGTTTGTGATTGTTAATTCTTGAATTTTTTATTTTTTTTAAAAATTACTTATAGCATTAAATAAAATTTAAACATCAAAAAAGGCGGGGGTAGGGGTGGAGTAGACAATAGTACAAGGAGTAATATTTTTAAAAACTTTCTATAATGGACACGGACATGAAATAAACAAGCCAATTTGAAGCAGCTATCTATATAAATTACCCAAACGCATTCCACTCTTTATATAACCCAAAGTCCAAACGCTGGCATTAGAGTAAGCTTTGTAAAAGAAACTCTCCTTATCTTCTCTCCCTGCCATCTTTCTCTCTCTATTTCAATGTTGATTTCAAGATTTTCGGTGAAGTCAAACAAATTCTCCCTCTTTTGATTGCATCTTAGGTTCTTTAGGGTTTTGTGTTGGAGAATTTGAATTCGTGATGTTTCTTGATTGGAATTTCACAATGTAATTGATGTTCCTTTTGCTTTAGTGGTTTCAAATGTTCAAGAATTTACAATGTCTTTGTGATTTTTTACCAAGATTCTATAATGTCTTTTTTTTAGTGAAGAAAATTGTCTGATAGATTTTTTACTAAGATTGTAATTGTTTGTGGAATCTTTAATAGTGAAATACTTGGGTTAATATCAAATAGATTTCTGGGTTCGCCTGTTTGGAATTGACAACTTCTATTTGTCTTGTTATGTTTCTTGATTTTCAATCATTCTAGTACTTACCAGTTTTTTTTTTTTTCTGATTTTTCATCAAGATTATTATCAAGATTGACAGTGTTTTTTCATCAAGATTCTGAAATTTATAAGTTTAGTCTAATGCATCATTTCACCTTTTTTTTTTGGTTGTTGGTGGGTAGGCGGGGGATGGATGACATGTACTTCATGCAGTATCTTAAGGTTTCTAATAATCAAGATGATTATCAAGATTTTGTCAATGATTGATGAAGATCTTAAATTAAAATTTCAAGAAACTTAAAGATTTTGTCACCTTTCGTTTTGTCAATTTTGTTTTTTTTTGGATGGGTATTGCCTTGAGATTTCTAATAGTAAAATATAAGTTCTCAGGGGTGGTTTACTTGAACTAATCTCTGTGTGTCTCATTCGTATTGTGATTTCAAGATTTTCAGTTAAGTGAAAGAAACTCTCCCTCTCTTCTCTCGTTGGCATTAAAGTAAGCTTCCTATCTCTCTTTTTCAATGGATATTCGTATTGTGATTTCAAGATTTTTCGGTGAAGTCAAACAAACTCTCCCTCTTTTGATTGCATCTTAGGTTCTTTAGGGTTTTATGTTGGAGAATTTGAATTCTTAATGTTTCTTGATTGTAATTCACAATGTAATTTATATTCTTTTTGCTTTAGTGGTTTCAAATGTTCAAGAATTTACAATGTCTTTGTAATTTTCTTATTAAGATTCTACAATGTCTTTTCTTTAGTGATGACAGTTGTCTGATGGATGTTTTGGTCACTACTTTGGTTATGGTATGTAGTACCAGAGGGGCTTTGCAGTTTTATAAAGGCCTCATCTATTCCAATATAACAGTAGCTCTTTGAGGGATTCAGGGATGCACCATTTCACCTATTCAACAACAAGAAACAAAACGTCTTCAGCTAGACTACATATATGTTGGGAGGGGGAGGTCAAGTGATGATCTCACTGCATATGGACTCATATCTGGATTTGTGAGGCGGTTTCCAGTTTTAGTGAGTTTATCTTCACTGGATAAGGATCATCTTGTTCAGATTTGTCTACTCTTTTTGCCTTTTTGCAATGTAGTTTCTAGTTTCACGTTTTCATTATTTAATCAGCTTTTTGGGAATTCCAACTGTGCTTAGGAGGTTGATGACCAACCTTAAAATAGTCATATTATGATGAATCCTCATAGTATTTGTTGAGATGATGTCCTAATGAAATTGGCCCAACCAGAGTGAACCACCCCCGACTTTTAAATGTGGTTTTGAACGATTGATTGGATGGGGAACTTTGGGAGTTTGTTCGTTTTGCTTTTAGGTGCTATCATGGACTGTTAGCTGGCATTAAGAAGGGAAGACTAGTAAACTCAATATGTTTTGTTAAAGGTATCCTCTTCTAATATTTGCCTTTTCTATTTTTCTTTGATCTTTTTTTCCATGTTGACATCAGTAAAATCATCTTTACCCCTTTAGATTTGGAGCTTGAGGTGCTGCTGCCACCTGCCAACAATTACATTATCAAACCTTTTCAAATGAACCTCCATTTTTGCAGATTCTTTGCATTCATAGTCTAGATCGGAAGTACTCTTGAACTTGTAGCTTAGTATTCAGATATCTGATTTAAGTATCTTGACCTAGTTAAATGGTAAAATCTTACTATAGTAGGTTTATACATGGATAGAGAAGTCAACAAACTTATGAAATGAAAAGTGTGAGGGTGTGTGTTTGGAAAACATCATTTAAACGTGTCTTGAAGAGTCTTTTTGAGGTTCAACTTGCATGCCTTGAGAAATTATTTGTTTATGATTTTTGGACTACCGGGATAAAGAAAAAAAATATCTAGACCGCATGAAGATGAAAGAGAAAATTTGAAGTTGATGTTCTCTTTTGCTTTTCACATTTCATATTGCTTCTTACTTCCTATTTTTCCTTTTAATTGTGGATCCTTATTTTTGCTCTCACAGAACCCAAAAATGCTCTTTGCAAGCAATACAGGCAATCAACTTGAATAATGTAAGCTTTTAGTACAGTGTTGTTTAACTTTAACGTATGATATTTCATCCTCTGAAAAGGAAGTTTCTTTGTCTTTATCCCAAACACATTCACAGGAAAAAAGGGAATGTGAAGAAGAAGAAGTCATTCTTGAAAAAAAAAATCAAAAACAAAATGATACTCCATTATGATGCATTGGATCAAATTCAGTCTTTGGATCCAAATGTAATTTATATTCTTTTGCTTTAGTGGTTTCGTATCAAGAATTTTACGACGTCTTTGTGATTTTTTACCCAAGATTCTATAATGTCTTTTGTTTAGTGAAAAAAGTTGTCTGATGGATGTTTTGGTCACTACTTTGATTATGGTATGGAGTACCAAAGGGGCTTTGCAGCTTTATGTAGGCCTCATCTGTTCCAATATAACAGTAGCTCTTTGAGGGATTCAGGGATGCACCATTTATATTCATCTGTTCATTCAAATGGCCTATAACTCTTGTAAATCTTTATACAAATTCACATATGTAGTTCCTTGACTCCAAATATGTTCTCTTTTGAAGCATTTTTCGAGATCAATAATTTCACTTGTTGAGTTTATCTTTATTTCTTCTTCAAATTAGAAGTGTACGTGAAGAGCTCGGAAACATCCACGTGGCAATACTATTCAGGTATACTGAATTTATTTAATGCCTATTTTATCTGCTTTTTCTATTTAAAAATTGCAGGCTAACAATTTTGTTGGAAAAACACTTACCACTTGCTATTTGGACGGTAATATAGTTTAGTGCTTTTTAGAATCAATTGGATTAAGTTGGGGGTGGAATACAAATCTCTACAAGGAAAGAATGTTTGGCCAAGGAAAATCAGATGTCATTCACTGACCTATTCAACAACAAGAAATAGAAGGTCTTCAGCTAGACTACACATATGTTGGGAGGGGGAGGTCAAGTGATGATCTCACTGCATATGGACTCATATCTGAATTTGTGAGGTGGTCTCCAGTTTTAGTGAGTTTATCTTCACTGGATAAGGATCATCTTGTTCAGGTTTGTCTACTCTTTTTTGCCTTTTTGTGATGTAATTTCTAGTTTCACATTTTCATGATTTAATCGGCTTTTTGGGAACTCCAACTGTGCTTAGGAGGTTCATGTCCAACTTTAAAATAGTCATATTATGATGAATCCTCATAGTATTTGTTGAGATGATGTCCTAATGAAATTGTCCCAACCAGAGTGAATTACACCCGACTTTTAAATGTGGTTTTGATCGATTGATTGGATGGGGAACTTTAGGAGTTTGTTCGTTTTGCTTTTCAGTGCTATCGTGGACACTTAGCTGACATTAAGAAGGGAAGACTAGTAAACTCAATATGTTCTGTTAAAGGTATCCTCTTCTAATATTTGCCTTTTCTATCTTTCTTTGATCCTTTTTTCCATGTTGACATCAGTAAAATCATCTTTACCTCTTTAGATTTGGAGCTTGAGGTGTTGCTGCCACCTACCCACAATTAGATTATCAAACTTCTTCAAATAAATCTCCATTTTTGCAGAGTTTTTGCATTTATAGTCTAAATCGCAAGTACTCTTGAACTTGTAGCTTCGATATCTTATTTAAGTACCTTGACCTAGTTAAATGCTAAAATCTTATAATAGAAGGTTTATACATGGATAGAGAAGCCAACAAACTTATGAAAATGAAAAGTGTGGGGCTGTGTGTTTCTAAAACATCATTTACACATGTTGTGAAAAGTGTTTTTGAGGTTCAACTCGCATGCCTTGAGAAATTATTTGTTTATGATTTTTGTACTACCAGGATAAGGAGAAAAAATATGTAGGCCGCTTGAAGATGAAAGAGAATATTTGAAGTTGATGTTCTCTTTTGCTTTTCACATTCATATTGTTTCTTACTTCCCTTTTTTCCTTTTAATTGTGGCTCCGAATTTTTTCCCTCATAGAACCCAAAAATGCTCTGTACAAGCAATACAAGCAATCAACTTGAATAATGTAAGCTTTTAGCTCAGTGTTGTTTAGCTTTAACGTATGATATTTCATTCCTCTGAAAAAGGAAGTTTCTCTGTCTTTATCCCCAATACATTCACAGGAAAAAAGGGAATGAGAAGAAGAAGAAGCAATTCTTGATTAAAAAAAACAAAATAAAAAATTATACTCCATTCTGATGCACTGGATCAAAATCAGTCAATTTACAGCGAAACAATTTGTTTTGACGTTACAGGTTAACTTACAGTTTACCGAGAATGCACTTTGAGTTATTGTTGAGGAATACATTGCCAAAAACACTGGTGCATGAGGCTTAAAATTTATACTAGAAAGTATACTGACTGAAGCCATGTTTTGAGGTATTGCATGACATTTGGCATTAATTCTGGAAGAGCTTGGAAAAATATTTCACCCATTTTACTCTTATCACATTGAGGCTACTAAAGGGAGGAGATATGTCACCTTTTATTTGAGAGTATGAGGTACCTGCTTTTGAGTATTACTTTCAAAATTTTACATGAGCACCCCATGAGTGTTGAATAGCTATGTTATGAAGAACTTTGCCCAAAATGAACCTAAACAAGACTTTTACCTGTCTTTTGAAACGTACCTAAATATTGGTTTCGAAGGCTCGTATTTCATTGTCAAGGAGACTACATGGTTTCTCTTTTGTAATCTGGTTTACTTTGCACTATCAGCAGCATAGTTATTCAATTATAAATTTTTGGTGTTCATGTTTGTTCGCAGACTGCTGACTTCAATGTAGAATCAGCTCAGCAAGGGGTTGTCTACATAGATGAAGTTGATAAAATAGCCAAAAAGGTCCAAAATTTGTTATATACTTTATGAATTTGGATAATTGACTTTAAAGTAATCATTCTCATCAGTCATCTGTATAGGCTGAGAGCCTTAACATTGGCAGATGTATCTGAGAAGGACACCCAACCGCGCTGCCAATGATGCTTGAAGGAACTGTGAGTATTTATTTCAAGTTGTTTCTTCTGTTCATTCCAATTGTCTATTACTCTTGTAAACATGTTTGGGGGTGGAAAACAAATTAAAGTGGGTATCCAACTGCTGAAGATGTTTGTTTAGTGTTTTCTAGAATCAATTGGATTAAGTTGGGAGTGAAAAACAAATTTATATGAGGAAAGAGTGTTTGGCCAAGGAAAATAAGATGTCAGATACAGACCTATTCAACAAACAAGAAACAACACTTCTTCAGCTAAACTACACATATGTTGGGAGTGGGAAGTCAAGTCAAATACTGGTTTATATGCCTTGCAACAATTATCTACGAAGGCTGTGAAGTTGTTCAATAGCTCATCACCGCTCTTTCTAGATGCCGACTGCTCTTTATATTTTTTTTATATAATAATTTGCAGATAGCTAATGATGTCCTTTTTATCTGTGGTGGAGCTTTTGTGGTTTAAAGAAGGCAATTTCAGACATGTGTCAAGCTCAATTAATTTCATGAAACACATTTAGGTTAAGTGATATATTATGGTTCAGCTTTATCATTCCTTTACTCCCAGATGACAATATTCTTCAATTGGATTTGGAGCACCTGTTCAAACTAACATGAGAATTGGTGGTCTAACTGATGCTGGAGTTACATCATCACTTCTTTTCCGGATCACTATTCTGTAAATCTAGTGATTTTATGACTCTTTATTCTCGTGAAATTCTTAAAATAAAATGCATCAGAAGCATTTGTTTGACATTGCTTTCTGTATCCCGGTAGAAAGTGATGATCTCACTGTGTATGGACTCATACCTGAATTGGTTAGGTGGTTTCCAGTTTTAGGAGTTTGATGCATATTTTGGTCACTACTTTTAGGCTCTTTTCTAGGGATGTAATTATTTGTGGAATCTTAATGGTGAAATACTTGGTTAAGATCAACTATATTTCTGGGTTCTTTGTTGTTTTTATTTTTCCTTTAAAATATACCAAGAGTTGATTGCCTGTTGTTATACTGTTGGATGCTATTTTTTTCCTAATATATATGAAGATTAATAATCAGTATGTTGCTATGCTCTATAGTTAAGTCGCTACAGTGGCTTGGTCATAGCAGCTAGAACTTGGTTGTATTGTGTGTGACTTTTCCTTTTTCTGTTTCCTCACTCTTAGAGCTCTGCTTTTCCTGTGATAGACAAAGAATTTTCTTCAGAAATGTTGGTTTCCTTTTGACTAGTACATTCGTGTTGGCACGACACTTGTTAAAGTTATTATACTGATTGAAACTTTACTAAGTGATTGTTGTTGTTATTTAATAATAATAATGTTATTCATTATTAATATTAATATTTTTTATTTTCATTATTATCTTTTCCATCTGCAGCCAATTAAAACTGCAAATTGTTTCCTTTTGTTGGTAGAGACTAGGGAAAACATAGACTTTTGGAGGACCCAAAAAAATGGCGAATTTGTCTATTTCAAACATACTCGAGAAGGTAAACATCTCATGGCATGGGTATCTCTCTCTCATTATCCATTTATTACACTCAATTGTTTGCAGTACCTAATTCATGTTGCTCCATCCAAATTTGCAATTTGACTTGGCTTGACTCCATTTTGCTGATGAAATGCAAGGACAAGGACTAGAGACATATGACAACTTCTTATTTGCTAATTGAGTTAAACAAAGAGGGGTTTCAACTTGATGTTGAGCTTGAAAGGGAAGTTATCAAGTGCAATTTTGCAGCAGCTTGATGATGCAGTCGATAATGTTTCTGGATATGCTGTCAAATGGTTTGACTTTTTCTCATTTGTTGTTTCTTATACTCATGATGTTCCTGTCTTGGGACTAGGAGCTTCTTATTGACCATACTAAAATGGTTGTAGTCTTTTTCATATTATAGTCCTTGTTGCATAATCAACATCGGCCTACCAAATATTTCATTTTCCTTGTTAAATGGTTTAATCTTTTCCCATTTTTTGTATCTTGTGTTGTTCCTTTCTTGGGACTAGGAGCTTCTTATTTGACCCTACTACAATGGTAGTAATCTTTTTTTGTATTATAGATCCTGTTGCATAATCACCATAGCTCTGTCAAATATTTCATTTTCCTTGTTAAATAGTTTAACCTTTTCCCATTTGTTGTTTCTTGTGTTGTTCCTGTCTTGGGACTAGGAGCTTCTTATTGACCCTACTACAATGGTAGTAATATTTTTCATATTATAGATCCTGTTGCATAATCACCCTAGGTCTGTTATTTCGTTTTCCTTGTTAAATGGTTTAACCTTTTCCCATTTGTTGTTTCTTGTGCTGTTCCTGGCTTGGGACTAGGTGCTTCTTATTGACCCTTACTAAAATGATGGTAATCTTTTTCATATCATAGATCCTATCGCATAATCACCATAGGTCTGCCAAATATTTTGAGACCAAACATGTTTGGCAATTGCACTGTTCAAGTTGTTTTGTGCAACCCTGTTTGATGGGTGAGTTAGGTCAAATACTGGTTTATATGCCTTGCAGCAATCATCTACGAATGATGTAAAATTCTAACGAGCTGGACAGTACTTGTTCAATAGCTCATCACTGTTCTTTCTAGATGCTGACTGCTCTTCATAATTTTCCATAAACTAATTGCAGATAGACACTAAAGATTTCTTTTTTATCTGCGGTGGTGCTTTTGTTTAGTTTAGAGAAGACAATTTCAGAAAGGTAATCTGTCAAACAAAATTAACTTCATGGAACACATTTAGGTTAAGTGGTATATTATGGTTCAACTTATCATTCCTTTACTCCCAGATGACAAGATTTTTCAATTGGATTTGGAGCACCAGTTCGAACTAACATGAGAACTGGCGGTCTAACTGATGCTGTAGTCACATCATCACCATTGGAATCTGTGAGGAGATCCCTGTGAAAATTATGAAGAGCATAGTTCTATCATTAGCTATTTTATTCTGGAAAAGAAGGAAGCAACAAAAGAAGACTTGGACTCGGAGTCTGTGGCTCCGGCAAGAGCCTTGTGCTTGTGATCTCAGTGTCTGTTTCTTTTCAAAAAAAAATTGTGAATTCTTGTATATAAAGTATTAGAAAACGTGCAAAGCTAATTGGGGTTCCTTGTTCAAAAGAAGGCTTTTTTGAAAACCTAGATTTTAAAACTCCGAACCGAATGTTTCTATTAGTTCCCCACCGCCTTTTCCGCAGGACACCTGATCCAATCCATTTTGATTTCCAGGATGGTGCTTTATGCAGTTATATTTGTACAATTCCTCCAACATCCCCACCCCACCCTACCCTCCCAAAAAAAGGGGGAGTTATCTCTTGTTATATCATGTGAACTAGAGATTCAATATATTGTGATGGTACGGTGAGGTTTGCTTTGATATGCTCACCCTCTTTATTCCTTTTCTCTGCTGCAACAGGAGATAGATGGTATTTGCATAAGTTGGACACAGCATTCTGCAATCATAATAGAACATCAAGGTTCCTCTGAGGAGATTAATCAAATCTTTGGTTATGACAGTAAAGTTTTTTCATGAAAATACTTGCTCAGAGCATCTACCTTAGCTCACCCCGAATTTTGGTTATAATAATCTTTCCCCATTTAATGAGCAGTTTCATTGTCAATACTGTAGTATGAGGTAAATCTGCTGCGTAGGGAATCATTCATGGTAAAGATATAAACCAATCATGTCAATGGCAAGGAGTAAATTGAAGTGCTTGCTCAGAAAACAAAACGCAGCACTAGTGCATATACATTGAGTTTACATATTCATGTTAAGCATTTCTCATGAATACAGTTATTTTTACAGTAGGTATTTTCAAGTAATTAGTCACTTGAGGGTCAGAATGGACCTCGCTTGTTTCATCAAGATACCTTAGTGACGTCTTATTTTGATCATGTCCAACAGGTGCGGCTGAAGAGTGAAGATGCTTGAAGGAACTGTTGAGTATTTATCGCAAATTATTTCAGCTGTTCGTTCTAATTGCCTATTACCCTTGTAAACATGTTTACAAGTTCATGTATGTAGTTCCTGAATTTCAAATGTGTCCTCTTTCTAAGCATTTTTCTGGGATCAGTAATCTCACTTGCTCAGTTTATCATTATTTCTTCTTCAGATTGTAAGTGTACCTGATAATAGAGCACGGAAGCATCCACGTGATGGCGATGCTATTCAGGTATACTGGATCTATTAAAGCCTCTTTTATCTACTTTTTCTTTTTTAATATTGCAGGCAAGCAGTTTTGTGGGAAAAGCACCAACCCTGGCTAATTGGATGGTAATATAGTTTAGTGCTTCTTAGAATCAATTTGATTATGTTGGGGGTGAAAAAAAAAATCTCTACTGGGAAAGATTGTTTGGCCTAGGACAATCAGATGTCAGACACTGACCTATTCGACAAACAAGAAACATGACTTCTTCAGCTAAACTACACATTTGTTGGGAGGGGGAAGTCAAGTTAAATACTGGTTTATATGCCTTGCAGCAATCATCTATTACAAACATATACTCGAGAAGGTAAACATCTCATGGCATGGGTATTTTTTCTCTTGTATCCATTTCTTACACTCATTTATTTGCAGTTCTAATTCCTAATGCTCCATCCAAATGTGCAGTTTGACTTAGCTTGACTCCTTTTTGCAGATGACAAGCAGGGACAAGGACTACAGATATATGGAAATTTCTGAATTGTTAAATGAGCAAAGATGGGTATAAAGCGCTGTGCAACATACTAAAATATTATGATGATAGCAAACTCCAGTGATCCGAACCATTCCCATTGAAGAAGAAGCAGATATGTAGAAGTTTCATTTCAATGCTCAAAATATTTAACAAGTGTTATTTCAAATATTTGTCTCTCAGAGAGTTGATATTTCTAAAGATCACTCAACTTTGGGAATATATATAGTAATGTCATTGGATTTTGTTTTGTATCAATAAAATTACTCAACTTAGACCTTTGAGATATCATTATTCACTATTCTAATCCCTCTTCAAAAGGGTTAGTGGTTGTTGAACGCATCTGATTTGCTAATTGAGCTATCGAGGCACCTAAATGCTTGAGTTACATTTGTGCTGTTAGTGTATATTTTATTTCCCAAGGAGATATTCAAATTGACATGCTTTCAGTTGTACTTATCAAGAACAGTCATATGCTTTAGTTTTTTTCCAAATTTTTCCTTAACAAGTTTGTATAATTTTACCACTCAAAAGTTGGCAGCGGATCTCAACATCATACTCAGTTAAAGAGATAGAACAACCTTTGTGGAGGAACTGGATCATAAAAAATGGGGATTCATTACTTACTGATTAGGACTTGGGTTGACAACTCAAATGAGAAAGAGATAGATCCAGCATAGCTTTCGAAACAACTTGCATAGATTCATATGGAATTGAGTAAAAACTTGCATATTTGTTCTGGTTTGTGGTGGCGCCACATAGACGGGCCTAAGGTTCTCTTTTATAGATATACTAGACTAGAAGCTTAAGTTAATCTCAAATTAAATGAATAATTTTTTCAAACTCATAATTTTATATTAATCCAATTTCACAACAATATTAAAGCATCTATTGGTTGCTAATCGAACTTGCACTTAAATACTATATATAAGCAGATTTCTAAATTCAATGAAGTTAGTCCAGTTATATTACAGTTTTCCAGAAAAAGACTTGAAACTTAAAACTGAGCAGGGTCGAACACAAAACCTCAAGTAACATTACCTTTGTTTCTTATAGTCAAGCATCTTAAGTTCCTTTGCTGATTTCTTTTTTCTTGCTCTTAGTACTTTCTATTTTACATGGCATATCTGTCTCAGTGTTCCTTGTTCAAGAACTAATTAAGAGAATAGAATCTGGCTTGGTAAATAGATGTAACTCATACACTTGCATCTTTCCATAGTTCCGTTAAACGATCTTGTAGTGTATATTTTGCACCTTCCAATGGTATCATATGTTAGCAACACAGTTCTGAAAATATGGGAATATTCATATACTGTGCATATTATATCTTTAATATCTCGCCTTCACTCTCAAATGCTGATTTCCTACCTTTTTTAGGCTGGTCGACCGTATTATCCTGTGCGTACAGGCAGAAGGGACAGTAAGGAGTGATTCTTTGATAAGGCGATGGCTGAAATTCAGCGACCAAATGGGAATATCATTGAAACTCTTAGACTATTTTCGCTCAGAGGATTTGATGAGAGGGAAACAGTGGCCCTCCTTGGTAATCTTTCTAATCCCGCTACTTTAATCTTCATTCACTGCACCTTTTTTGGAATATACATATTCTGAAATTCTATTATTTTTTCTTCTTTTATCGCACATAATATTGGGAGGATTGGTTGTCAATTTATTCGGCCCAGGCTCAGTAATTTCACGGGGACAGGTTTACCTGATCCAACAATTCCTCCAGACTTTGTTGAAGAGTTGAGGCGGAAGTGTCCAGACGACAACAACACCATCAGCAATGTGTTGAATGATGAAGATACAGTTACAGCTAGGGGTCTGAGTGTATCAATTGGGACATTAGATAATCACTACTACAAGACTTTAATGAGAGGAAGAGAGCTGCTGTTTGCTGATCAACAGTTGATGGCTAATGAAAAGACTGCTGCAGCAGTTACAGATTACGCTATTGATGATGGCATTATATTTAGGACAGAGTTTGCTCATGCCATGGCTAAACTGTCCAATTTTGGTGTTCTTAATGGATCCCAAGGATCTAAATTCATAGATTAGATAAATTCATGACTTTTCCTAGTGCTTGGATCATGGCACACACATGTACAGAGTGAATTGTTTGTTTGGATGAATGCTTAGATCACTATCTGATTTTTCTCATTATTGCATATGTTTTGTATGTACATCAGTCAACAAATATGTGTGTCTGAGGAATTGCACTTAGGTAAATCAAGAAAAAGAATTGTTTAAATCAAGAACTTGTCAAGATTTGATCAAAAGTCGATTATATTATATAGAAATAATGCTGTGAGCCCTTTCTTTTCCCCGAAGCAAATACTACAGGAAAACCCAATATCTGTTGGTACAAGCTAAGTTGATGCCGACAAATTAAACAAAAAAGCGTAAAGATTTTCAAGATAGTTGTAAAGATTATTATAAACATGAGATTATAAACGACGCAATCGGATTTAACAAATATGTACGTATGTATGTCAATATAGCATGAAACAAGAATACAAACAAAATCATACCTTATTGTTGTTGCTTTGTTGTAGAACGTTAATTCAATGAATTGAAATCAGATCTGAGGATAGGAATTGAAAAGAGATGGCTGAAGTTGTTCTTCTTCATCTATCTCAATTCCCTATTCTCCTCAGATATGGTATCAATCTTTGAACTCAGATGTGGCTTCAAACAACGAAATTCTTCCCTTATACCTTCTCCCCTATTTATAATACTGCAACAAAACCTATAAAAAAAAAACTATTTTAATTTTGTTTCCTATTCCTATTTAACTAGGAATCCCACTTTTTCTTGCCAAAATATTAAAAAACATAAAGACTTTTTTTAAAAATATGCGGGAATATATATTTACAGTTAACTTATGTTACAAACTACATGACGTATTTAGTATTATTTATAAACAAAATTGACTATAGGGTACTTTAAAAAAAAAAAGACTATAGGATACTTTAAATTTATATTCTTTTTAATTTATCTTTTACTAGTAAAATTATCCGTGTTTGCAAATTTACTATCACGGAATTTATAAAATAATACTTAAAACCTATCAGTCATTAAAACTAAAACACTATATTATCTTACATACAAGATTACATAGTAACAAACATTAATAATGTAAAGGAAATGAAAATTATTACATCTTATCGTTTATCCTCAATAACATAAACATAAATTAATGACTGTAAAAATACATACCAGGATCTGTAACATAACCAATGGTGTCAGTGATCCACTCAACAGGAGTAAAGTACACAAATAATTAATTGTGAAGAAGAAGAAGAGGAGGTTCAAAATTTTCGTTGTTTTAAAATGAGAGGAAATCCCTCTATTTATAGACAACAAAGGGTAGTGTGAACAAATATTTATTGTGTCTTATCGGAAAGGTTACAACTACTTGGAAAAGTTCGCAACCTTTCATAAAAGTCACAACTTTTCACAAAAGTCGCAACATTTCATAAAAGTCACAACTTTTCATAAAAATCACAACATTTCATAAAAGTCACAACTTTTCATAAAAATCACAACATTTCATAAAAGTCACAACTTTTCATAAAAATCACAACATTTCATAAAAGTCACAACTTTTCATAAAAATCACAACATTTCATAAAAGTCACAACTTTTCATAAAAATCACAACATTTCATAAAAGTCACAACTTTTCATAAAAATCACAACATTTCATAAAAGTCACAACTTTTCATAAAAATCACAACATTTCATAAAAGTCACAACTTTTCATAAAAGCGCAAGTCTTCATTAAAGTCGCAACTTTTCATAAAAGTCACAACTCTTTGTTAAAGTCGCAACTTTTCAAAAAGTCACAACTTTTCATAAAAGAGAAGGCTAATTTTGTAAATAAATAAATTAAAAGGGAATTCTGGTTTGTGGTGGCCTGTACTTTGTTTGACTCTATTTAAGGCATAATAAGACTACCCACATACAACATTTTTGAAATATTTTATGTTGTCAATTATCATGATTTATAGTATTTTTACGCAATTTTTAAATATAAAAAAAATTAAAAATAAGAGACATAAATTAAAATGGACTCAATATATGTTATTTTTGTTGTCTCAATTTATGTGACACAAATGAAATTTGGAGAGTCATCCAAATTTTCATATTTTTTTAAAAAATGTTTTAAGTTATTAATTATTGTGATTTATAATAATTTTATGTAACTTTGAAATAACGTACATTACTGGTCACTTTGTCCTAATTTATGTGATATGGATAAAATTACAAAATTAACTCTTTTAAAAATGTCTTTCAGATATTTTAAGTTGTTAATTATTATTATTTATTAATACTCTTTTGGTAATTTTAAAATGATATGTGTTATTTTTTCTGTCTCAATATATGTGAGTCTGTTAGAATTCTGAGAGTCAACCTATTTTATTATATACCTTTTAAATATTTTAAATTGGTAATTATTGTAATTTTTAATGCTTTTTAAGTTATTTGTAAATGATATATGTTGCTTCCTTGATTGGGACTTTTCCATTTATATATATATATATATATTTCTAATTATTTTAAAAGGGAGTTTATGCCCAAGTTCTACTATATAATAAATATAATATATAATATTCAAGAAAGTCCCAATCTTGAATATTATATATTATACTTGGGCCTAAACTCCCTTTTATAATATAGTAGAAATATAGTAGAATAAGTAAAAAAAAAAATCTGACTTATAATGTTTTGAATACATATTTAAATATTTAATTTTAAATAATATATATTTAAATATTGAGATTTTATATATTTATTAATTATAAAATTAAAACAAAATACTAAATTGATATACTTCTATATTAATAAAAACTCCCTTTTAAAAGTCCCACAAGTATAATATATAATATTCAAGATTGGGACAAATTCCCAATCTTGAATATTATATATTATACTTGGGCCTATTTTA